ACTAACATATATCTATCAATTAAAAAATTAGGGACAATTCTGGAGAGGTCATGAATCACCCTCTAATAGGAATCTGCATGATTCTTATAAAAACTGGCTCTTAAATGGAAAAAATAAATAAATATAAAAAATAACTAAGCATCTAGTAACTAAATTATTTCACAGTACTTTTCATGTTGATGTTTCATTCATGCATCTATTTTCAGAGTCTATATCAAAATTACTTACTTTTAATCACTACCTTGTAATGTATACACAGTTTATTTTACTCCTACATTTGATGTATAGCCAATTCCTGTTATAGATTGTTAATAACTTTTTAGTTGCAAATCTGTTCGAATAACCAAACAGTTTGTACTTTAGTAAAATTATATTTTTTTTAAGTTTGACTGTCAAAGCATTTAAAAACAATTTTGATTTCTGAAAAATAAATATTCTGTTCACAGTGTAATGGTTCCAACTGAAACAGACCAGTCTTTCATTGTATTTTGTTTGTGGTGCAGTAACCATTGTCTGATGAAATATGATCCTTGAGGAACAAGTTTCCAATGGAAGGTTTTTAGCAGAAGAGGCTAAGAGTGACATAACATTCTGCATTAACTGTTAAACATTCTTCTATTTGCTCACTTTATTGAAACTTTTTTTTTGTTCTTGATGAATTATACCAACCATAGCAGGGAAGTTACTGTATAACTCCTCTTTAAGACCTTGAATTAAACCCATTTGAAGTGTACACTGTCCTACTAAAGTAATGAGGTAAATTACTAACCAGCAAATTCCTTCTCCTCCCCCCTAAACTTAATGCTTACCTATTTAACACCAAGTGACCCCATATGAATGCATATACTTGGCAAAGAAGCAACCAAAGATATTTCCAGTAATGTCTCAAATGATCAGTACCATCTTTTGCCTTCCATTTCACAACATAAAATCGCTTATTAGTTATATTGAATTATTTGTTTGGGCTGTTTTCTTTTATGATGTTTCACTATGCAAATTAATCTTACATATGAAAAGGGTAAAATTGTGTTGGACTTGTACATTCTAATTTACGAATAATTTTTGTCCATTACTTTCTTTTCACATATAATATCAGATTTTGTTATTCTATTCTAATTTTCTGTTTATTTTTCATATTAACATTAAGTAAAATCAAACCTTTTTTGTCCCAGAAGTCATGCGATTACACAATCCACCCCCCTCTTTTTTTCCTTTTGGCAAATATATTATCAATTTTAAAAGTATTTAGAAGAGAGGGCTACATGGAAAAAAGCCAAAATTTCAGTGCCAAAGGTGTATTCCAATATAAAATTTGATTATCAACACATGTTTTGTGTATTGATTACAAATAAATAAAAGTAGTTATTGTTATCTTAAATTATGTACCAATCATGACTTCAGTAATTAATGTTTGCAGTATTTGCTTTGTATAAGCATTTTTTATGTTTTACCCATAATATTTAGTGAATTAAGTTTAAGGAGAATTAGAAGATTTATTGTTTATATTGAACATTTTTTAATACAGTGGTGGTATTTGTGGTTGATTTAAATGCAAAGTATATAACAAAAAGACATTTATTATATGTCTATGTAGTTCAGAAAATTCATAACTAAATTTTGAATCTAAAGGTTTGGTATCTGAGTCAAAAACTTGGAGACTAAAACTCTATATTCAAAATTCATTACAGTAAGTTTTAGACCTTGGATGTTTTCAAAACACAGTTATGACAAGACATTCGAATCTGTAGTATTTTTGGGATTTATATCAAAAAATGATAAATTAGGCGCAGTGTTGTATCCTTTTTATCTGTGTGCTTACTCTTGGTTAGATACCAAGAAATATCAGTTGTAAAGCATACTGCCAAGATTAATATAGTTGTTACAAGTTAAAAATACAGTTTACTTATCAATGGTTAGCAGGAAGTGTATTTGTCTAATTAACAGCAACACCATTTTTGTATGTTCACTTGTCATAATAATTGCAACAGTCAAATGACAATTCACAGAAATCCATTTTGTTGATTTATCATTTACTTTTCTTTTATCTTAAGTGCTTGTTAAACTTTTATATAACTTTTCAGAAGATTAAAGACTGGTTAAGTCTCAGAACTTCCATAGATGCCTCTAATAGAATTCGTAGAGGTTTTATATGTAGTGTAAGGAAGTGAAAACAAACACTTTCGAATAGTTACATTTGCACTGCAAAAAGTTAATAGTATCTTAAGTTAATGTGTCTTTATTTTCAATGATCCATTGATAAAAGTTATTAAAAAGATTAGACAAACAGGTCAATTTTAAAACTAATTTTAGACTGAATGGTTCAATAATATATATTTTACATTCAGTTGTTAGGATAATCTGTTGGTAACAGAGGAAGGAAATGACCTTGTTTATAGAAAAATCAAAACTAAATAATTTAAAATGCATTAACAAGAATAACTGCAATATATAGAATACACATGAAAAATTTGTATTTATCAATATTAACTACTATTACAAGCTTTTCTGTACAACTCCAGTTTTTTTCTTAAGTTTTGGAAAATTATTTCTTGTGATTAGGTTCAACAAATAATTAAAAAAACTCAATATTTCTACACAGTTTCAGAAATTTTGAAAATTTATGATATATTCTTTCTCAAGCCAATTGTCCTTACTACACACTAGTATTTTTTTTAATGTTGGATTTAGCTTAATACATGTATAAACCTCTTCCAGAAAAGATTAATACATCATTGTTACACAGTTCTTACTACTTGTTGGAAGTTTCAGATTTTTGTATTATTTATTCAGTGGCATTATTCCTTGAATAATATTCATACAAGAAAATAATATATTAAATAGTCGTTTTATCTACTTTAAAATTTCACATGTTGGGAAGTATGGTTTGTTTGAAAAGTAAGCCACTGCAATTTTGTATTTTCCCCCCACAAAATTACTGTTTGGAAAAAGTTCTTCCTATTACAAAAATGAAAAAAAGATATAAATAGAATTATGAAAAAGGCACAAGTTTTTAAGATAGCAGAGTTTTTTCCTTTTTTTTCTTCAAATTCCACCATCCTTCCAGAGCAAAGAGGACTTGGCTATTTTATAAAACTTTTATCAATCTGTCAATAGTAATTAATTTATGATATGCTAGTTATCCATTTTTGAAATATAGCATACATGTATAACTATTATATTGACATTCATAAATTCTCTTCTTAATTACAATAAAAATACAAACTCTTATTAACTGTGTCCCCATTAATACCCTTTCAGATTAATATTATTATAATTATTTTAAAAATGAATAGCAATTTCCAATACAGAATA